GTGCGTGAGAACAAAGCTGAAAATCTATAGAGAGTACAATGTTTCTTTGAGATTGTTCGTGTTAAAACAATAATAAAGGGCCTGAAAAATTTAAGCGTTTTTTCATCCTGTTTTTCTTCTTTTTTTTATCTTGGAGGAAAGAAACTTTGAAAAAAAAAAATTATGTTGGAAAGTAAAGGAAACTTCTGAAAGTGACGTAACATAGTTGAAGTTTTTTCTTTTTCTTTCATGTAATCCTGACGACTAAAATTTCCGATAGAAAAAGAAAAAACAGAGAAGTTTCAAGAATGAGTAGCTGTGCCGCTCTTTTGTTTATACTTTTTAAATGTATGTGCCTTTTCCTTCTGCGGTTATAACATCCAGAATTGAAGCAATCACCTTAGATAACTAAAAGAACTAAAATAATAAAAAAAAAATTATCTATTAAGACTAAATTTTCGGCTGAATTAAGAAATATGAAAAAAGCTGCTGAAGCGACCAAGTAAGAGGCGTATTGAGAGCAGGAGAGTTTTGAGCTGAAATAATCAAAATGCTTACGAAAATGTAGAATTAGGAGAACCGTATGCAGTGTTATCAAATTATAAGTTTTCTGATGAGTGTGTGAGTGACACAGTTGCCGGCTAATATTTTATGTTGTTAACAATTTTAGATGGGAAGGTTTTGTGAAATTCGGTGCTGCTTCATCCACGGAAATGACTGGAAAAAATTTTGATAAATGGCTCAAAGATGCTGGTGTTATTGACGGTAAAACAATTACGACAACAATGACCGGGATAGCCTTTTCCAAAATTACAGGGTAATTTGCACTAAACACAGAAATTGAATGTTTTTTTCCTATTTCATATTATCCTCTTTATCTCCGTTATTTACATACAGAAAAACTCAGAAATTGCGCATTATTTGGCGGAGTATTTTAAATTTCTTGTAAGAAAAACTGATCTCAATTTAAATTAGTAATATGGTAATGTTACAAAAAATTGAAGAAAAATAAAGTAAATTACAGGACCAAAAAAAAGGCATCGTTTGCGGAAACTAAACGAGTTTTAGCTGCTGTTGCTGAAGACCGCGCAAGAACATCAAAAAAGGAACCTCAGGTTTGTGTTTCAGTCAGTGTCACTAAACAATAGTGATTTACGACGACTCAAAACAAAACAAAATCCTTAACGCAGAACGATACCCATTAGTAGGCAATATAAGCTTGTATAGGCCGATTAAAAAAGCCTAATCTGAAACAAATAAGTAGGAAACCCAGCAGAGGAAGTAATCCGCCTTTAAAAACCATTTATAATCTTCTTTGATTACGCAATTACTGACGGTATCATAAACTTTTTTCTATTACAAAGAAGTCTTTTGATGAAACGATCAAAAACTTCCCATCTCTCCTCCACTTTTTCTTGCAAGGAAAATATTGCGCAACCTTCCCCAAAAACCTGACAGTTTTTGAGGAGAACTTAAAACATTTCGAAACTCATTTCCAAAACAAAAAAATCGTGCTTTCTGGGAAACTACTGATGTGATACATTTGTAAATATCATTTGAAAATTAGAATTTCTCAGAAAAACCAAGTGGATCATCGGTTAGGCATTTCAAAGCTCTGCCCAAACGGCCTATGGCTTGAGAAACTTCAACCCTTATAACAGTTTTATTAATTAGCAACATGGCTATATAGCCCTTCACTGACTGCTGTAATTCATAATAATTTATTAACTCCCATGCAGTTTCATTCAAAAAATTTTAAAATCTTCAACAATTGTTTGACTTGCTCCCCACTGCGAAATCTAACATACTTCCCTCTATTCCACGTTAAGTGGCTGACACAAAAGTAGTCTCAAGGGCCATTTTTTAGCTGAGACATCCCACTGAGTGTCATCTAAAACATCAAAAAATTAACCAAATTGATGCTAGAAAGTGGACTTAGTGTCAGACATATTTGAAGTTTGGGAGCAAAAAATCAAGGTTTTGATTCCTATATTCCCGAAGCGTGCTATCTGGCTGGAAACGCAGGTCGAGAGACCTTGAAGCAAATTTAACCCACGAACACAAAGGGCTTAAAAATATGCAAACTGAATCTGAGTTTAGTAACGAAAACAATTCGGGAATGGGAATTACAAGACAAGAGAGAGTCCAATAAACTGGACTGGCTTCCGCAGTGTGCGTAGAACCTTCTCTACCCTAACTATATATTCTTTCCGTCCAACACCTCGGCACAAAATTACCTTTTACACCAGCCTTAATCCACAAAATACCCCAAAAATTAAAGTACAAAAACTTTTTTTGAGCATTCTACAAAAAATCTGAAATTATTTCAAATGAGCTGCAAAACCAAAACCAAAAATTATGCTTACGTGGCTAACAGCGTAAAGAAAATGACCGCACAAGTCTAAAATCCTAAAGAAAAACACTAAGAACCACCGCACAGTCAGCTGCAACACACCATTTCCGTACTGGTAAACTCTTTACAGGAAGAACTGGACGAGATTATCGAGAAACTATCAAAACTGGAAGCCCCATCCCTGAACAGTCCCTCCAGAACTTCCGCAGAAGGTGTTTACAGCCGCCTAACCGATCATACAAAGTATACCGGTGCCCATAAAGAAAGATTTGATGCCACAGGGAAAGGTAAAGGGAAGTTAGGACGAGTGGACCCCAAGGATGACTCTGGGTATGTCAGTGCTTATAAGAACCGAGGCACTTACGACAAAACCCATGGCAAGCAGTGATTCTATGATCTCAAACCAATATAATTTAACTTTTTAATTTGCAATTTCCTCATTGTAATGTTATCTTTCCGTTTTTGCATGTCTAACTTCTGTACCAGTGGTCCCTCTTAAAAACTCAACTGGAACCACAGCTTAACTAGCCCGCCTGTATAAATTTTAAAATGACAACGCGTGAAATAAAGAACCATGTGTAGCCAAATGACAATTTCGAAAGATCCTAACAGAAAAAAAAACTAGCCAGGTACAGTGAAAATGCTTAAAGCGACTAGTCAACTAAAAGCCTCCGTCAGCTACCAAGTTCAAGGCTCTGTAAACAATACGGGGAGGACGAAAAAAACCAGAATCGCGCTGCCATCCCAAAATGTGGATACCGAAACTGAATGTAAAAATATAGTCGGTATAATGAAGCAACTTCCATACCTTCGATAAAGAGAACCAATATAAATAAATGTTTAAAGGTCCGAAACTTAACAATGTATATTCTTCTGAACAATGACAATAACAAATTCAAAAAACTTTTCAAATTAAGGATTTATTTTCGGCCCCCGCCTATTCCTTCTTCTGCAGCTGCCCGAGCTTTCTTTTCCCGAATGCCTTTCAAGCGTTCGTCGATACGTGCACGTTGTAGATGACGGAAAACTTTAGCTTCTTTTTCTTCATCAGTAATTTCCCTCGGCTTATTCTTCTTAGGCTTTCTCTTTATCGGAAGCACAACGCCACGCAATTGGGTAGCTAATTTAAGTTCTTCAGGCTGCAACGAGACTGAGCGTAAGAAGCAGACAACATAACAAAAACTGTAACAGATGAAGTGCTTATGCTTTAATCCAGTAAGCAACGTTCTGATGTAGAGACTTGAAAATGAAAGTACTCAATTAGTCGGTGAAAATGAACACATAGAGTTTCAAACCGCTTTTCGCAACGATTCATGCTCTTTTCTGACAAAAATTTCTTAACCTCACGAACTCTTTCTAAACAAATGCGAAATGGGAAGTCTAGACAAAATCAATTCTAAAATTACACTATAAAGTATTTATGCAAAGCAGAATAAGTAAGTCTAACTCACGCTGCTATCTCCCTTCTTGGGCGCTTTACTCTTCTTCGGGAACAATATAAGCTTCGATTTATATTCTCTTAAACGTTGCTTATTTTGCTGAAAAATTTCTGTATAACGATGGTTCTTTACGTTCAAATAAATGAATATATATATATATATATATATATATATA